TTTCAACTCTTTTAAGAAATCTTTTTTTCTTCTTTTTGTGTGTGTGTAAAGGTGTTTAATATAAGCAACAATCACAATGAGCTGTTTTCCAAGCGGATGGTCAGCAAACAGTTTAGCTTTGTTGGAATGGTGTTTATGGGAGCGAGTAGTTTCTCCAAAACTTTAGCAAGAACGAGTTACCCATGCAACTCTGGTCGGTCTCCTGCAATGATAACGGTGGCCTGCTGTTTTCTGTGTTTATGGCTGCAGTTGTTCTGGAGATTGTCACATCTCTTGGTCTGGCTTCTTCAAAACAGTTTAAATAGTGTGCTGTCAGTTGGGATTATAATACTTAACTCTCAGTGAATTAACATTATAACATTATAATTTCATTATATAGCAGATATTTTACCAGATATTTTTTTTTTGGAGGTCTCAATTTATATCTTTCTAGCCGGCTGCTTTAGACTTGTGGTGCCATCAACCAGTCAGTCACACTGTCCTTTTCCTGCACCGCCCAAAGAGATCTATAATCAGACCTGTCTACTATATCTACAACTCATCTCAATGAAACATTGTGTACAATGGAAGTCAATGGAGAGAGATGCATGTCGTGTGCAGTAACGTCATGATAACGTCATTTACGGGCCGCCTCAGGTGACTGGTTACAAAAACAATTCAAAAAGGAGCAAATATGGCAGCATAAGTTGTATAATTGTATTACATTTCATTTCAAACAATAAATGTCTTGTTTTATCATTTAAAACTTAATACATTTCTTGTAGATTACAGTGAACCACTTGAAAAGTGCACTTTGCAGTTTTCTTTCAAACAAATGCCACTTAAACGTGTAGTAAGCGATTTATGAGAAACCCTGTTGACATCTGAAACTGACTTCATTGCTCCACCCCCAAAATGCACGAACACAATGTCAAGAGTGGATGTCTCCTCATCATAGCTGAAGCGAAGCAAAATAATGCTTCATGAAAAATAAAGCAAAGATGATGAACGAATGGCAAAGAAGAACAACAAATGAACATACAGTACAAAAGAGTTTATGCAAGCAAGTGTTCGTTATTGAATGAGGCATTTATATTAAGCGCTTTCATATGCATCTTCAAGTTTAATCTAATGGCGCTTTTCCACTGCTGGTATGGCTCGGTACGGTTCGGTACAGCTCAGTACTAGAGCCAGACCGATATATCGGCAGACCGATAATATCGGCCGATATTAGGCATTTTCTAAAATATCGGTATCTGCAGTTATAATGGCCGAAAAATAAATATTTCAAAAATAAAATAAAAACGGACGAAACACGCTTCAACCATATCATGAGTGTTGGAGTTGTATAGTTTGTCCACCAGAGGGCACTCTACACCGTTCCTGTTGGCAACACACAATAACGCGCCACGCATCCTGCAACCTGCTGATCCAGCCAGAGTCAGGCAGAGAGAACCAGTTATGCATTATCATATTATTTTAGTTAAAACTCAAAATTAACTACAAAAGGAAATCTGTTAATATTTTGTTGCGCGTTTCTGAAAAAAAATATAAAAAAATAACAATAATATCGGCCGATATATCGGAATATCGGATTTTAAAACCAACAAATATTTGTATCGGTATCGGCCTTCAAAATCCTTTATCGGTCAGGCTCTACTCAGTACGGCTCAATACGGTTCGGCGCGGTTCGGCTCGCTTGCTTTCCCACTCCATGGTAAGTCTCGGTACGGCTCAGTACAGTTCGGCGCGGTTCGGCTCGCTTCGCTTTTCCACTGCATGGTAAGACTCGGTACGGCTCAGAATGGTTCAGCGTGGCGTGGTTCAGCTCGCTTCGCTTTTCCACTGCGTGGTACGACTAGGCTCGGCACGGCTCGGTTCGCTTTAGCTCAGTTTGCTTTTCCACTGCAGTTAGTACCGCTTAAATGGGTGGGATTATACTCTGATCGTTATAGTTTTTTCGTTCCTCGGACGGCAACCAACTAGAGGAACATTTGCCCTTCTTCCACTGACCACGATTCAGCTATTTATTTTTTTGGAAGTTTTCTTTCTTTCTTTTTTTCTTCAAGCAAGTCAAGCAAGTAGTTTTAAAACAGTTGCTACAGCGGTGGCTGTTACTGGCTATTTAAATCTAGTGGGTTGGTTTGATGTCTCGCAAATTCTGTCTGATCTGTCCAATCAGTGATTTGAGTTCACGTCACATTTTAGTAGAGCCAGACCGATATATTATCGGCCAATATTAGGCATTTTCCAAAATATCGGTATCGGCAGTTATAATGGCCGATAAATGAATATTTAAAAAATAAAATAAAAACGGATGAAACATGCTTCAATCATCTCTCCTTGGCCTGTTATATTGAAAATGTATGTTTTACAATTTGCAGTATCATGTTATCTATTGCTAAATTATGGCTCATCATAGACTAGCTAACCACAAAGCTAGCTAATGCCACTATCATCAGTGGAAGACCGCTAACGTTAACATTAATGAGCTTGGAAACCACAATGAACTTTTTCTGCCTAAATAAAATAATGATTACTGTATTTATAACTAGCATATCTCTAGTTACAGTCCCTGCATTGTAAAATGTATGTTATACTTGCGAGGAGTGAACATTTAGACATAGAGAAAAAGTATCAAACATATCTTGTGCAATCCAACAATATTTAATAATAATAATAAAAAAAATCGGCCGATATATTGGAATATCGGATTTTAAAACCCTAAAATATTTGTATCGGTATCGGCCTTCAAAATCCTTTATCGGTCGGGCTCTACATTTTAGTATCGGTACGGTACGATTGGAACCTCAAAAGAGAAGGTGCCATGTAAAGTGACCCGTACCGTACCATATCATGCAGTGGAAAAGTGCCACAAGTGAGCCGTAACGTATCATACCATGCAGTGGAAAAGCGCCATAATGTAATGACATTCATTGGGCTGCTATATCAGGTAACACAACTGTTATATGTCACATATATCATTATAAATAAGATTAATGTGGTGTTTAGCTCTGAGGATTTGTCCATGGTGTTTATCCTAAAGGCCGCCAGTTGCTGTGCTGTGACTGCTGCTAATTTTGTATGTGTCTGGAATGTGACAGCTGCCGTCACACAAGTGCTCGGTTCAAACTCAAAGGCATTCTTTGGTGAGATAGCTCCAGGCCTTCTTTATTATCAAGACAGCACTCTCGAACGAGACTGCAACACCATCACACAGCCACAGCGAGATAAATTGCTAATTTTAGTGGTTTGTGCAAATTCCTCAATGTAAATTTAGACAGTTTAACATGAATGACAGCAGTAAACTCGCCCATAGCCTAGCTGTTGTGTTACATTGGAGTTTGACTTTTTTAAGGGAACACGTTGGCACTGATCTGGCATAATCAATAAGCAATTACTTACAAATGAGATCCAAAATGTCCATTACATTTTGAAAATATAATTTGTAAGTAATTACTTATTAGTAATATACGGTCTGCTGATCAATGTCAAAATAACCCCCCAGAGAGAGTACTGTAGGTCTCGTATCACCCTGAAGGAGTTTACTTTTGTTTTCACCATTGATGACTGGTTGATTGTACCCATTAATTACATGGTTATTTACTGAACACAGCTACACATAGACAATTATTATTATGTTTCATTAGCTCAATATGTCTACAACAAAACTTGGAGTGTATACGCAAAATTGTGGTGAAAAGGGTCAAAAAGGGTCCATTGTCTGTTGTCAATGGTGCCAGTTTCATACTAAGGGTGTATTCACACCAGGAAAGTCCGATAGTTCACTTGCTTTGGTCCGGACCAAATAAATTATTATTATTATTTTTTTTTGGTACGGTTCGCTTTCACACTGCTCTTTTTGCAAGTGAACTAAAATTTGTAAACCAAACCACACGTGTGCTAAGGTCGTCCATTCATTGGACAAGGATTCTTAAGGGAAATCAGGAAGTGCAAAAAAGGAAGTGCTCAGCATGGAGATATTTCCATATATTTCATACTGCAATATTTGTTCTTTTACTAATTTTGTGTTAATTCTGTACAAACGCAATATGAAGAAACTAATGAGTATCATATGATACAATGTCATCTATCTATACGAAGTTGTAATTCGGATTTTGAGAAGACGACGAGTGTAACGTTTGAGTGGCTCTATAAACGCGGGGAAATACGACAACTCTCGTCTCTCGTGCATCTTTTCATTCGACCACCTCCTGTTTTTTTTTTTATCTCTGGGCAACATCTCAACTTTGCGTTACAAGTGGCTGCACAGAAGACGGAGAAGGTATAAAGTTTTCATTTATAGAGAGGGGCTATGTTCACTCATTCAAATAATGAGATTCTTATTGTGTACTAACAAGTGCGGTCAATGTTAACGCTTGCGATTAAGTTTGTCCAGTTTAACGTAAATTAACGCATCATCATCCTTGTATTGTAACTATCCTTACATTAATAATAATAATAATTCATTACATTTATACAGAATTTTTCTCGGCACTCGCTTTAAGGGGGAAACTCGTCAACCACCACCAAAAGGTGGTGAACTGCAGATGCATAAAGCTGCAGTACTGTTTGTGAATGTTTGTTGAAAGAATGGTTTTGGTAAACACAGAATCATTGAACTATGTTGCTAATGACAGAACTCGCGACCATTGGTTGGAGCCTGCAATTTCAACCTCAGGACTTAATATTCCAGGTTCTATTATTTTAAAACTCTGACATTAATTGTCCACCCAGTTCATATTGAATGAGGGCCAACACCCCAAAAGATAAGATAGTAGAAAGTCTACATTATCTAAATGCGAACTCATCATACTGTATGTTCATTCATTCTTACGATTTCATTGCCAATGACACTGTGACACAATACATGCATTTGCTGTATTCAGGAGGAGTCTATGACTGCAGACAGCAGCTGCATCATCATCATCTTCCTGCTTCCCTGGCTGCCGTTGCTATGGCAACCTGTCCGTGATGTCCAACCCTACAGAGGGAGGGTGAGGAAAAATGGAAGAACTCACTCGTATACCGGGTCTTTCCTCCGGAGAGGTGTGCCCATCATGGCTGCGTCTTCTCCCTCTTCCTCCTCCTTTCCTCGTCTTCTCTCCGCTGCTGTTACCAGCTTCACCTTGGGAATGATGGATCTTCTCCAGCTTTTCCTGTGATTTCAGATGGATGCTGGATGCTTGCAGCTTGCTTCCGCTCTGTCTAGCCTGCAGGATAAGAGAGAGAGAGAGAGAGAGAGGGAGAGAGAGAGGGAGGGAGGGTCACATTTGTTTAACGTCTGATTTTATTGGTAGAGAACATGCTTCTCTTTTAACTTTAATTTGAGAATGTACGTAAAATAACAGCAGAGCTAATCAGCAATATGTCATGAAATCTACAGTAAAGTCCTAAGCCATAACAGATATATCATACTGAAAGAGTAAGATTTAATGATTCCATATTTAATCCATTTCACTGTGCTATACAGTAAAAAGACATGCTCACATTATACAGGTTATTAAAATTTCACCTTTAACCAAAAACACTTCCATACTTCCATACATTTTCAGCTTTAAACCTCAGACTCATGGGAATTTGTATTTATTGTATGAGTTAGTAACTTGTATGAATCAGTAGAAATCTGATTAGTATGAAAATTTATGATTTGTTGTGAACCATGAACATTTCACCCCTAAACCTAAAGAGTGTCTTAAACATCTTTCTGTCCATTAAAAAAAAAAAAAAAAAAAAAAAAAATCAATTTCTTTTCACAAAATACAATAATCAAGGCTGACTAAAACTGTCTGAATTTTAAATGACCCCCGCCCAGGGTTATTATAGTTATCTAAAACTAATTCATAAAAAATATGTGTTACTATATTTAAAATATATAACTGAAATAATATAAAAACAATATAAATATAACAACTATATTAAAAGCCTTATTTTTTTCAGCTGGCTAAATTTTAGCTAAATTTTTCATGTTCGTTAACTTAATGTGCTAAATTATCTGAAACTGAATCAAAAACCTATATTAAAACACACCAATAATATGTTAAAAAAATCAAAGGCTAATAATAACGACAAACAACTAACACATTTACTATGAGTTTTAATTTGTTTGTTAAATTTTAATTACAATGAAAACGGAAAATACAACTGTAACCCTCGTCTGATACCCTGAGGAAACCCTTGATGAAAAACCAAAGCGGACAGTGTGTGTCCTCGTAAGAGGCAAACAGATCCCCTTCTGCCTGCCCAAACTTTCTTCATCACCGTCTTGGGGTGGAGTCTCCATTCCCCAGGCCTCAACCCCTGCCTCGACAGGATGTCTACCCCCACATTTTTGTGGGAATAACATTGCTCTGAGTGAGAGAAGTTTGCTCTGGGACCACAGAAGGATCTGATGCGCCAGTCTGCATAGAAGGCACGATCTCAGACTCCCCTGCCGATTTATACAGTATATAAGACCACCGACATTTTGTCTGTTCATACTAGAAAATAATAGCCTCTGAGGTCAGGAAGGAAGCGTCTCAGAGCCAGAAACACTGCCAACATCTCCAGGCAATTGATGTGCCATGAAAGATGATGGTCCTTCCAAAGACTCCTGGTGTCGCGGCCCTCCATGACTCCCCAGCCTGTGACGGTTGTATCCGTCCTGGCCCCGATCCACCACTGTAGGGGTCTCATGTACAGCAGGCCAAACGGTATCACGTTGGACGGTGCTACCAGGAGCCCCAGAACTCTTTGAAAGTGTTCGATATTGATGGCCTGGCCTAGCTTAGAATCCCACACTACCCCCAGAAATGTAGTTCTCTGTAGAGGAATTAGTAAACTCTTTTTGACATTGAATCTCAGCCCCAAGCACCTCAGATGGTGCAGGACATCTCGATGCTGAACCACCATCTCCTCTAACTGCACTAGAATGAACCAGCCATCGATATAGTTGAGGATTCGAATGCCCTGAAGTCTTAGTGGAGCTAGAGCAGCATCCATGCATTTTGTGAAGGTTTCCCCAGAAGGCGAACCTCAGGAATCTCCTGTGATGGGGAAGGATGGATATATGGAAGTAAGCATCTTTCAGAGCTATCTTGACAAACCAATCCTCGGACCTGATTTGACTCACGGTAATAGATATGGTCAACATCATGAATTTTAATTTCTTCAGAGACCGATTCAACACTCTGAGATCTATAATAGGACATAACCCCCCAGTCTTTTTGGGAACTATGAAGTACCGGCTGTAGGACCCGGCCTCCCTCCCGTGAGGAGGAACCTGCTCTATGGCCTCCTTTGCTAAGAGGGACTGAACTTCCTGTTCCTCAGCCCGGACCTGCTTGGGGCTGACAATCGTTTGAACTACCCTGCTGAATTTTGGTGGAAGATCCTCAAACTGAATTATGTGCCCCTTTTCCACTGTGCGAAGGACCCACTGAAATATATTTTGAAGACCTTTCCAGATGTCTAGATATCCAACTGGGGGAATGAGTCTCTCGAGACTGACCTCGGGTGTTGTGTGCATGGTTTTGATGCCCTGAAGCAATTGTTTGGCAGGAAACAATGATTTAAATTTTTTTTTACAGGCCTCATGAGAGTAAGCGAACTTGACAGGACCACAAAGTTTTCGGGTGGACACTGGGATATGCATTCGCTCGAAACCGATGCGTCCCGAAGTGCATGAGGTGGCGGGAAGCATATCGATTTCCTGAGGGCTCAAAGAAGGAGCGAGATGTTGTTACTCTCTTGCAGGGGGGACTGTCCTCAGAGGCCAGAGCATCATGTCAGGACCTCTTCGCCGAAGCCTTACTAGCCTGACTGACAGTCATCAGATTTGCCTTGAGTTTGGAGGACCTTTTGCAGGGCACAAGCCATCTCCTTGGTAGCACGGAGAGACCAGTCTGCTGCTCGATGGAGCTCTTTAACATCGCCGAGGGTGACCTCCCCACTGTCGTTGATTTATTTTAAGAGATTGGCCTTGTATGCCTGTATGATCCCCATCGTGTGTAGGCATGCACTAGCCCGACTCGTCGTCAATATATGCCTCGCCCACCAATGCTGACGTTGTACGGCTGAGTTTGGAGGGCAGAACTGGAGCCTTTAGGGGATGATGGACAAAATTCTCAGACTCAGATAATTCGAGCATCGGGTCCTCGTCCAGGGGTGCGTTTCCCGACGTAGTTCGCTAATTCACTACCATAGTACGATGCATCGATGGAAAAATCAACTAGCTAGTCACGGCTGTTTCCCAAAACCCAATGTCGCAAAGTATCGTTCAACCACGTTGGTTTCGCACGTGGTGGTGTAATAACTACCTTTAATGAAACTGTTTGAGATCCAAGTAACGCTAGATTTGTTTTATATAAATTACAGACATGTCATCTGAGGACTATTTCTAATTATTCTCAGTTGTTTTGCTTTATTACCAGACTCAATATTTGGCTCGTTCTTACATAGTATGCACGTTCGCACATGCGCACTCTTCAAACACGTTACTTCAAATCTTTTGACAAACTAAAAGACATAAATTCCATTTGTATGTATTCTAAATAAAAGACACCGTTTGTACTGAATGTCAGCTTGCTTTTTTTGCTCAATATAAGGATTTATTACCTCCAAATGTCAAGCAATATAGAAACGATGCCTCTAACCACAGGTCGAGAGCTGTCGTTCAAACCACACAACTTTGCGATGCTGTTTGCAAATGTTCGTTGGAGCGATGGTTTCGGGAAACACCGACTCATTGAACTATGCTGATGACGACGGAACTTGCGACCATAGTTGGCTAACGATGCTTTCGGGAAACGCACCCCTGGGCGGAAGAAGCCTCTGAGCGGGCTTCCGACTCCTGAACGGGACCGACAGAGCCGGCTGTTGAATGTTGTCCCCATGAATTAAGACCCCGCGCCGCCTCGGCAGACACTGTCCCGATCCACGGGGAATGCAAGCCTGTTCTGTCTCATCGAACAAGGCCAGGCGGGAGGGGAGCATTCTGAGAGGCAGCATATCACAATTTGCACAGACAGCACCCTCAAGCATGCTATACATGCTCCACTCCCAACTGCCAATAAACTTTCTTGCTCGCCATAATATAAATATTGTTTGTGACTGATAAACAACACCAAATAAGATAGACCAGGCAACATAGAACGCTTGCTGAAGACCAGAAAAGTGATGTTGTTACGATCTGGCGTCCTTGTATAGCTTCCGTTTCACCGTCACATGCAACGTCACAAGTAGGGTTGGGTATCAGTTGGGTTTTATCCGATACCAGTACCTATTCGGTATTTTTTAAACGGTTCCGGTGCCTAAATGGTTCTTGAAACGGTACTTAAGAAAACGAAACCGCACACACTTTGTCAAAAAAATAATAATACCCCTTTATTTACAGGGCCAAACTGGACACAGTATTAACTTACAATATAAATACAAGTAACATATGGTAATAATAAATAAACCAATATAAAATAAAAGTTCATATTTACATAATATAAAATAAAACAATATTATATTAAACAATGTAATTATACTGGAGATTAATAGAGATTACTACCAGGGTAATATAATAACGACATGGCTACAGGTTCCCATGTTTTGTCTGCTTCAACCAGTCATGTAGGCTAAGTTATCTTGTCATTTACTAGTTAAGCTCTTAGCCAGTTTGATATTTCGTTCCCACTGCGTCTTATACGCAGTTTTGAGTAAACAAATGAAAGAGAACGTCTCTGTGTAACCCATGTTCTCTGAATAGGGAACGAGACGCTGCGAATGGTGATTCTTCTATATCCATAGACAATCGTTATTCTGACGCGTATTTTTACACGTGAAATGTTTTAAACATTTCACCTGTGTTTAATCTCCTCGCTATCAGCAGACGTTCGGTGAGTCTGCCGCATATTGATAACGGCTCCCGGATGATCGCAAATTAGTTCAAATCTTCCGGAATCTAGAGCGAGCGAGCAAGAGCGCGCGTGCAAGACAGATCAGACAGTGCTTCAATAAACCGTATAGTGCGCGCATGTCGGAGAGGGAGAGGGAGACAACGAGAGACTGCGTGTGTTCGTATCTATGGCACGAATGTAATTTCTCGTGGAATTTATACGGCAAAAACAGTTTTTGCGTGTATATGGCACGCGATTTTCGCGTTCATATGATACGCACTTTTTTGCATATAATACGCACGAACTCCCCACCCCCTCCCCCCTAAACCTAACCCAGGGTTTTTTAGTGCGTACCATATACACGAAATAAACA